AACACACAAAAACAAAACAGCTAATAGATACCCCTTGTCCCATCCTGCCCCACACAAAACACTTAGTTTTTCATTATCAGTCATACTAGGGATAGTTGTGTTTTCTGTGGAAGATTTTATAACATACAGTGTAAATGATGCAGATATTCCTTGCTTATTTCATGAAGTGTCACAGCTAAAAATGCAAGAACTCTGTGTTTTGAACCCTAGCTGGAATCCTCCCTGTCACTTAGAATTTATGGTTCTACCTTCCATATGAATCTTATATGCTGTCAAAATCAACAAGAAATGTAAATACACATGCCTTGAAGCACACTTCATGTTTCCTTCTACCAGTCGCTTCCAGGGGCTTCATGAGACAAAGTTAGTAATTCCGCAGACAGATTTAGGTGTTAAATATTTTTCAAACAAACCCAGTTAATGGCATCAGTAATAAAGAGCAGGGAAACAAAGAGATTGTAGTGTTTCATTCCAACCCGACATCCTCAGGAGAACAGAGAGCACAAGGCAAACCCATAAGTGTTTATATACTCCCTGAGCTGTACAGAGAAAGTTCACAGGAAGCAGTTAAAGATGCAGCAACTAAACCCAGCATTTAACTGGGTTTCTTTGAAATCTTGCTGTTTTATGCAATTAAAAACCAGGTGGAAGGTATATCATTACTAGTCAATCTTGAGGTTTATAATAGAGTTTGATTTTTAAGGTAGCTCTTCTACTAGGTGTGCCTCAACAAAAATCTCACAAAGAAAACCTTCCTATAGGAACTGTACAGCTCAGCTGGTTAATCCCAGAGGTGCTGTCGCTGCTCACTGTCATGTAAGCACTTAGATTCCCTGCTGTACTGAGCCTCCCCAGGGGCCTTTAGGGATAGGGAGGAACCCAAGGAAAGACTCTCCACTACTTCTGAAATGGAGACAAAGAATTCTGAGGCATGAATGCAACAGACCACAGGTTGACACCTAGGACTAACTTGTGTATCAGCCAATGCTGTGCCATGCTCTGAAGAAGACGAGCCAGATAGGCTGCCATATGCCACAATGGAGAAACTTCTGCCCTAAATTCATTTGCCAGCAACCTTGCCAGAGAGTCATTTTAGCCACTCCATCTCTGCTATCCTTCAACTCAGCTCCTGTGCCACCTCATAAATGAAGCTGACCCCATATCCTGTAGTCAAAGACATTCTTCCCTCTTCTGGTTCCAGCTATACTGCTTACCATCTACACTGCCCATAACACTTCTGCCTTGTGTCATGTGCAGTTATGTTCATGTCTGTCTCTCCCACTAGTTTGTATTTCCCAAAGGAAAAGGTCTAAGACTGTTGTGTTTTTGTATTTCTTATCCGAGGTACTCATTAATAATTATAACAAAATGACACTTACTCTGCCTTTTTTTTTATTTTTTATTTATTTTTTTTTTTTGAGATGGAATCTCACTCTGTTGCCCAGGCTGGAGTGCAGTGGCATGATCTCGGCTCACTGCAAGCTCTGCCTCCCAGGTTCATGCCATTCTCCTGCATCAGCCTCCCAAGTAGCTGGGATTACAGGCGTCTGTCACCACACCTGGCTAATTTTTTTGTATTTTTGGTAGAGACGGGGTTTCACTGTGTTAGCCAGAATGGTCTCAATCCCCTACCTCATGATCCACCCACCTCAGCCTCCCAAAAATGCTGGGATTACAGGCATGAGCCACTGCGCCTGGCCAAGCTTTTTTTTGTTTTGTCTTTTTTAACTTGAGACAGGGTCTTCCTTTGCCATCCAGGCTGGAGTGCAGTGGTAAAGTCGTTGTTCAGTGCACCCTGAAACTCCTGGGCACAAGCAATCCTTCCACCTCAGCTTCCTGAGAAGCTACAGGCACATGTCACCATGCCCAGCCAATTTTTTTATTTTTTTTTTAGTAGAGATAGGATCTTGCTATGTTGTCCAGGCTGGTCTTGAACACTGAGACTCAAGCAATCCTCCTGCCTTGACCTCCCAAAGTGCTGGGATTACAAGTGTGAACCACCACACCTGAACTCTTGCATACTTATATGCAGGGCACGTTGCATTCAGCATATCATTTAATTCTTATAATTCTGTAGCATGATGGGTAAAGAGCATGGGCTTTGGAGCAAGACCACCTGTGTTTAAAGCCTTCCTCTTTCTGCCATCTGCTAAATATCCTTGAAACAGGCAGAATCCCAGTGGTTTTCCAACTTATAGCCTCAGCTTTATTCTACCTCCATAGAAGCCCCATAGATTTAATTAAATTAGACCCATTAGCTTAAGTAGCAAACTCATTCCTCTTTATCATTAAGTAATCCTAAGGCAGCCCCCATTAACTTGTGACTTAATGTATTCAGGTTTTTAGACACAGATAGTGATTTTGCTAATCATGTGGATAATATTAATTCTTTACTTTTGTTAGTGTTTGGTTATTTTCACAGTTCTTTCAGGTAAATTACCTCCACTGATCTTCAGACCATTCTTGTAAGGTGGGCGGGATAGCTGTCCTTTTCCCCACTTTACTGAGAAGTACAATGAAGAGAGAGAAGCAAAATGACTTGACATTTATCTCATAGCCAGACAGTGGCAGAGCTGCAACTTGAGTCAAGATGTAAATTCATCAACAGGCTTCCTGCCTGTATCTTGCTTTGTCCCTCAGCAACACACACGTGTGTATGCACAGACTCACTAGCAGGCACCAAGAACCAGGTGTTGGGCGAGAGCCTCCATGGTTCAAGCTGTCTAGTAACCATAGCAATTGCCGCTGTCCTCGTGGCAAATGAGATCACCCAGCACACACTTGCTCCAAGATTTGAGTTACAAGAGATGAGGCATTTTCCTCAGAGAGCCGTTAAGTTTGGAATTCCCTTTCCCTGATCAGATATAACCCTTGAGTATTAATCTTCTGGGTCCTTGCAAACCATATCAAGTCGAGTTAACCAGTCATGATTGGTAAGAAATCCTAACAGTCAGGAAGAAAGTGCTAAATGGACTTCTACGTGTGAGCAATTTGCAATTTTGTGGGTGGATTTATTTTTCCCTAGGTATCCTTTAGGATAGCTACCCAGGAATACATTATTCTCATTCTTTAAAAATGCACTTATAGTTCACAGTCAGTCTGCATGATTTTGTTTCTGTGTTCTTACATCATGTCGCAAATGATGTGATGGAGAAACCTATAGGGAAGTTTTTGTTTCTTTTGCATAAACTAATTTGCAGTAATTGATCAGCCATAAAGAAAATATTATCTCCTGTGCACTCACAGCGAGTTCTCTGGTCACCAGAGACCAATAAGCTGTGTCCCTAGAACTATTATCACTTTGTTGAAGAAGCTGCTATGTGAACAAAACCCAGCCTTCGTTAATTTCCCTTTTTGTATTTAAAAAACCTTGTCAGTATTTTCCCTTTGGGAATCTATAATTTGTCAATAGTGCATATTATTTTAGTTCTAAGGAGGAGAGATGTAGGACAGTATGTCCTTATTAAGATCTCTTATTCATCAATCTTCATGCCAAATAAAGTAAAATGCTTCACATTTTTACTATATTATAGTATATGTGTTTATTTTCATTTCATAGAAATATATATATATTTTTAGAAATGTAAACCACTTTTGAGACTAATTTGAATTCCACATCCTCCGCCTCATGCTACTCCATTTAACTGATGGTGGAAGCCTGAGAAGTAAGGTGGTCAAACTGAGTCTGCATTCTACTGAGTGATGGAATTGGGATATACATTCTGAGTCTAGCACTCTTTTCCATTGTACTCTGCATTGTGTATCTGTTTTCTCTCCATAACTGCTACGTAAGCTTGGGAAGCAGGGATGATCCTTATACGTGCCAATTAGAACTGCCTGGTAAATGGTTGTTAACTAATGTCAGCCATTGTGTCATAGTTATAAGAGCTCACATGTTACGACACCTCCCTTTCATTATCTGTTCATTTTTGTTTGGGTTTTTTTTTTTTAGACGGAGTTTTGCTCTTGTCACCCAGGCTGGAGTGCAATGGCATGATCTCAGCTCACCGCAACCTCCGCCTCCCAGGTTCAAGCGATTCTCCTGCCTCAGCCTCCCAAGTAGCTGGAATTACAGGCATAAGCCACCATGCCCTGCTAATTTTGTACTTTTAGTAGAGACAGGGTTTCTCCATGTTGGTCAGGCTAGTCTTGAATTCCTGACCTCAGGTGATCTGCCCACCTTGGCCTCCCAAAGCGCTGGAATTTCAGGCATGAGCCACCCTACCTGGCCCATTATCTGTTCTTTTATATTCAGCCTCTTGTGTAGTTGTAGAAAAAGTTGAAGGATAACCAGTCATATACGATAGAAAGGAATCTGATTAAGCTTGCCTGCCATTGTTTCTTAACATCCACATTGAAATTGAAAAATGTTGTAAGGAAAAATCTCATGGACCTAAGATTATTTACGAATGGCTTCAGTGATCTCATATGTATAGTGACTAGATTCCTATGACACATTATTTTTCATTTTTTAAAAAATTGTGTATTATTGGCCAGGCACGGTGGCTCACACCTGTAATCCCAGTACTTTGGGAAGCTAAGGCAGGTGGATCACAAGGTCAGGAGTTCGAGACCAGCCTGGCCAATGTGGTAAAACCCTGTCTCTACTAAAAATAGAAAAATTAGCCAGGCATGGTGGTGGGCGCCTGTAGTCCCAGCTACTCGGGAGGCTGAGGCAAGAGAATAGCTTGAACTCGGTAGGTGGAGGTTGCAGTGAGCCAAGATCACACCACTGCACTCCAGCCTGGGTGACAGAGCAAGCTTCCATCTCAAAAAAAGAAAAAAAAAAGTTTATTATTTCCAGCCATGGGAAATGAAAGGACAGTAGAGTTCATGTTCAGAATGAAAGCGTAAACATCACAAGTCAGTCTGACCTCAGCTGTCAGTTTATTCGTTGTGAATTTTTGTGCCATGGAAGAAATTGGTTCAGGAATTGTTTGCCCTGCTATTAGTTTGTATGCACAGTAACATTTTAAATACTCACTATAACTGTATTATAGTTTGTTTCAGTGTTGGAAGGTGTGTTGTCTAAGCTGTCAAGGTATGATGAAGGCACTTTCTTTTCATCCATTCTGTCATTCACTGTAAGTATTTGAATGAGTTCTCTTCTGTGGTCTTTTAACTGTTGTCGTAGTGCTTATATGGCAGTTAAAAATAATTCTCATAATTATCTCTTTCTTTCCCACTTAAGGTGAAAGCAGCTGCAAAATATGTTGATGTTCCAGTAAGTATTTTTGTATCTACTTTTTAAAACTATATGTACTTCTTAAAAAAAGAAATTACAGTTCATCATGGGTTTATTTCAAATATTTAAACCAGTGCCATTCCCTTATGGAGTAGTTTATTTTCCTTAAGCAAGCGCTAACCTTCATAACAAGGCGTAGCAAGGTTATTTTGTTGACGTTTTCTGTTGTAACTCAGAAACTCTTATGGAAGCCAGTTCATCTAAGAACATATCACCTGAGTTGCAAAGGGAAGTTTTAGTACTCTAGGATGGGGTAGAAAATGCCTCACACTATGTATAGAAAAACTGCTCGCTTTTCCTCCCCTTTACATGAAAGCTGTGACAGGTTTCTTATAGAAGGTAAAATAATGATGAAGATGAACAGGTTAAAGAATTAGTGTTATATAAATATATAAAGAAAAAGTGTTATATAAATCAATAGTCACTTATTTTAACATTTGGTTTTTCATAGAATTCTTGGGAAATAACTCATAAGTTGTTCCAAAATTAAGATTCCATGAGCAGAAATCATGAAACTGACTTAGCTACAATGAGAATATTCACATGGTAAACATAACCAACAAGTTGTGCAGCATTTTTAAGCTGATCATCATTCCGAATTAGTTTTTAATTTAAATTCTATTATCACATATATGATCAAGGCCTAAGGTGTTCTGTTTAATCATTTATTTTGGCACATATGTCAATTTTCAAAGAATAAGAATTAGAGCACAATGAAAAATAAATTACGATTTAAGACTAGATGGAATACAAATTCGCTCTTTGTATTTGAAGAACATTATACCTCTACATTGCTATTAGAAATGGTAGCAGTTTTGAGTACTGGCAAGCTTTATATATCAGTTGTAGATAGCTCTTATTTTTAGGTTACACAACCACATTTTGTCTCCAGTTCTATTGCTGCTGTAGTTATAAATGAGTATTTTAAATGAGAAGGCCCTGGACTTTTCTACCTTTGCATGGGGTTTCTTTGGAACCAGACTTTTTATTTTACAAATGTTTCCCAAAGAAGTCTTCACACCCTCCTCTTCTTGTACCTGGAATCAAGGAATCAGTGCTGTACCATAAGGAGAAAAAAATCACATGTGTAGAGCCCCACAAAGCAGCAGCATGAAAGGGAGAATTAGGGGGAGATTTTATATTTGATATCTTAAAAAGTAACAAACAAATAATCTTGTATATATCACATTGGACTTCCTAACACACATGTTACAATATAGTTTTTGTTGGATTTTGAATTACAAATGGACCGTGTCATCAAAATTATTCATGTTCTTAGAGATTTTGAGGTTTTTAATTGGCCCTCTACTAGTTTATTCTCTCCATAGAATTTCAGAGTTGAAGGAGACCGAAAATGGTTCATTTACTTCCCTTCTCAGTGCAAGTAACTCCTCCTCTAATATCCCTTACAAAGATTCACTTGGGCACTGTTTAATTTTTTCAGTGGTTACAGAATGACCATATGGCAACCTACTCTTAAGTATTATGAGTTGAAATTGTCTTGGTGCATTTTACCCATTAATCCTCATTCTAATCGCTCTTCTGCGTGATAGTTCTTTGCATATTTAATGACAATTTTCATGCCTCCTCTTCCCAGGAGGTGTGGTGGCTATTCATAGGCATATGTTGTCTGAGGAATCCTTATTTTCTAGATTAAACATTCTCAATTTATTCACTAAACCCACTACTTAAATATTTATTTAGCACATACTAAGTGCTAGGTCCTGGACATACATGATGAGATATACATTTCTTGCCCTCAAATGGTTTACAATCTTAAAGACAAAAGAGATAGGGAAACAGATGTATTATTATGCACACTTCTGTGGCAATCATGTCCAGACTCTTTACCATGGCAATTACTACCCTAGAGGAATTCTAGCTTATCAGTGTCACCATTTAATCAAATTGCACCCTGGAGCAGAACATACTATACCATAGATGTGGTTTGACCATGGCAGATTACAAAGTGATGAATTCCTTCCTCAGTTATGGACATTACACTTCTATTGTTAATGCCTGTGAATATTAGCTTTAAAAGCTATGAGGTCTTGTTGGCCGTTGTTCTTTTTTATACTCAAACTCCGGCAAGTATGCCTCTCTGAAGCTGTCTCTTAAGAGAGTCTCATGAGAAAAAGAGCGCTGGCTCACCTTTCACAAAAATTAACTGAAAACAGACCTAGACACACATACAATGCAGAACTGTACAACTTCAAGAAGAAAATATAAGATAAATTATATATGGCCTTGGATTTGGTGATGAGTTTTTAGATACAACACCACGTAATCCATGAAAGGAAAAAAATTGATAAATTGGACTTAAAATTGATAAGTGTACTCTTATTAACTGTTAAGAGAATGAAAATGTAAGCCATAAATGGGAAGAAATATTTGCAAAACACATATCTGATAAAGGACTTGTATCCAAAGTGTTGTAAGAACTCTTAGTACTCAACAATATGAAAACAACCAAACGTTTTAAACAGGCAAAAATACAAACAGGCACTGCAACAAAAAGGATATGCAGATACCAAGTAAGCTTATGAAAAAATGCTCAATATTATTTGCCATTAGGAACATGCAGATTAAAAGAAGATACCACTATGTACTTGTTAGAATGGCCAAAATCCAAAAGCAAACTGACAACAGCAAAATGTTGACCAGGATAAGAGAGCAACAGGAACTCCCGTTCATTGCTGGTAGGAATGCTACAGCTACTTTGGAAAACTGTTTGCCAGTTTCTTTTAAAGCTAAATATAGTCTTACATGTAACCCACCAATCACAGTTCTCAGCACTTGTCCCAATGATTTGAAATATATATCCACCCCAAAACTTGTGCACAAATGTTCATAGCAACTTTGTTTATAATCACCCAAACTGGAATCAACCAAAATTGTCCTATAATAGGTGAATAGATAAATAACCATTGGTTCATCCACACAATGTAATTCTATTCAGCAAAAATAAAAGACCTCTCATCTCACATGAAGATATGGATGAATCTTAAATGCATATTGCCAAAAGAAGCCAAATTGAAAAGGCTGCATACTGTATGATTCCATTTATATCACATTCTACAAAAGGCAAAACTATAAAGACTATAAACAGATTAGTGGATGCCATGAGTTCAAGGTCAGGGAGGGCTGAATTGTTCAAATACAGGGGATTTTTTCAAACACAGCAACTATTCTGTATGATATTGTAATGGTAGGTACATGACACTGTGCGTTTGTCAAAACCAAACTTTATAGCAAAAAGAGTGAACCTAAGTATATTCAATTATTTAAAGATCAACTAAGTGATCATAGAATCCCAGGATGGAATGGAAACTATAATAAAATAATTCTATTGTGAATGTATGAGATAAACTCACTGAAAGAGGAGCGGGGAAAGTGCTGATCTGAGTAACTTTGGAAATTAGTGGAGTCTGTAAGAATAAGGGAAAATGGAACTTATAAATAAGCATTGTACTCTGGTTGATAAAGTTTTTCTCCACAGTTTAACAGTTTTGAAGCCACTATGTGTGTATTGGAATTGAACAATTAAGTAAATGGATGGCGGTTGGTAGGAGCCAGGTTTCTCACTGTTGGAGTGAGGTTAGAGGCAAGCAAAGGAAGGGGACTAGAATGATCCTGTAATGGAGTAGAGTTGGAAATACCAGTGTGAATTTGTCTTTAGCTTATTACAGATAGAGCTGTTACATTTAACAGTATTTTTAGATATATGTATATGCACGTGTTAATGTGCTCACATACATTTTCTTGCTCTGTTAGCTCAGAGAGCCTAGAAACAGTGATGCCCCAGTAGCAACAAGCCCACATAGCACTCAAATCTTGTTCTCTAATCTTTAAAGAAATGAACCAGGGCTCCTTGAAGAAATGGCTGATGCTGGAAAATATACAAGATGAACATGGACCATCTTGTAGCGACAGAAAGGAGATGTTCACAAAAAACACAAACTGGAAACTCTGTGTTTCAAAGAGACACAACAGATGATGGAAAGAGCTCCCAGTGGCCTAAGCTAGAATAATTTGAGCAAGCAAATATGTAAAGTAATATTGGATTATAATCCAAAGCATAAAATAAACATCCATTGGTCCATACTGATACAAGTAAATATTGAAGTACATAATGGGGAGAAAAGACAGCTCTCCCATGCAGAAGAACTCCAAATAATTAATATAGATACTTCCCTCTCAAGGAGATGGATCATATATCCCCACTCCTTAAGTGGGGGATGTACATAGTCACTTCCTTCCAAACTGTACAATATGCAAAGGAAGATGGGGAGAATAAATTTCCAATGGAGAAAGTTGAGAAATATTACCCCAGCCAGTTGATCAAAGGTCAACCTCTGCAGTGATAAATCATACTGATAATATCAGCCCTTGATAGGATGTGATCAAAATGGCACTTTACCTCTATGATCTTCCTCTTGTAGCTACAGTCTAATCATGAAAGAAAATCAGACACATCTCAATAGGTGATACACTACAAAATATCTGAGAATACTCCTCAGAATTTTCAAGGTCATCAAAAAGAAGGAAAGTAGGAGAAAGTGACACAACCAAGAGGAGTCCGAGGAGACCTAAATTACTAAATGTAACATGGTATCCTGAATGACATCACGGAAGAGAAAAAGGATACTGGGTAAAAATGAAGGGAAACTGAATAAAGCTCACACTTCAGTTAATATTGTGTCAATATATGTTCATTAATTGTAGCAAACGTACCATACTAATGTAAGATGATAATAATAGGGGAAATTGGGTATGAGTTATATAGAAACTCTTTAATATTTCCACAGTATTTCTGTAAATCTGAAATTTTTCTAAAATAAAATGTTTATTAAAAGAAAAGAGCACTGACCAAGGACTTAATAATAGCTCACCGTTAATTGTATGTGGCTATGTGCCCTTGAAACTGTGTGACCTTGGGCATTACTCAAGTGGCCCCAGTCTAGTCATCTATAAAATAA